GTTGCTTATTGCTTTGTTTTTTTTTTCTTTTTGTTTTTTTTTTTTTTTTTTTGATTCTTTTATAAATTTCCTGTTGATATTTTTTGCTCATCTTTTTTTCAGGTTGTAATTTCTATTCTGTTGTTGATTTGTAGAACTTTCTCCTATATTTTAGATGTTAATATTACTGGTTTCAAATATCTTCTCTCATTTTATGGTTGGTGCAAATTAATTGCAGTTTTGCATTGTGGATACTGGATACATTCTTAAATAAATGTGGTTATGTTCTACATCATTTTTTTCTTTTTTTAAGTTTTTGCCATAAGGTCTGTGCACTTGCTGGAGAGACAGAGAGAGACAGTGAGAGAGAAAGTGAGAAATCACCCCTGGGAGGATGGTTATGCCACAATCCGTTCTCCTCCATTCTCCTCCTGGGATTTTGGGCACATATGCACATGCAACCAGTGTGAGTATCAGCATGAGTCCCGGATCTGGGACTTGAACCATGGTTGGCCATAGTCATAACTACTACATTACTTGCTGGCCCCATGTTATACATCATTTTAATGCACATTTCGACTTTATGTTTTTGTTTTTTGTTATTATTGTTAAGGACTTATTACTTGCTATTCATTTTATATGTATTTTAGACTATGAAAACGATATCAGACAAAAAGCAAATTCGAGTGATTTTCTTATTCAAGTTCAAATGAGTGGTAAAGCAGTAGAAACAACTTGCAGCATCAACAATGCGTTCTGCTAACAAACATACAGTGCAGTGGTGGTTCAAGTTTTGCAAAGGAGACGAGAGCCTTAAAGATGAGGAGCCTTGTGCTTGCTGATAACCATCTGAAGCTAATCCTCTAACAACTATACAAGAAGTTGTTAAAGAACTCGGTGTTGACCATTCTATGGTCATTTGGCATTTGAAGCAAACTGGAAAGGTAAAAAAGCTCGATATGTGGATGCTTCATGAGCTGACTGAAAATTTAAAAAATTGTCATTTTGAAGTGTTGTCTTCTCTTATTCTACACACCAACAAATGAACCGTTTCTCGATCAGATTGTGATGTGCTATGAATAGCACATTTATATGATGACAACTGGTAGTGACCAGCTCAGTGTTTGTACCTGGAAGCAGCTCCAAAGCACTTCCCAAAGCCAAATTTGTACCAAAAAAAGATCATAGTCACCATTTGGTGGAGTCTAATCCACTACAGCTTTCTAAATCCTGGTGAAAGCATTACATCTGAATATACCCAGCAAATCGGTGAGATGCACCAAAAACTGTAATGCAGCTGCCATTGGTCAACAGAAAGGGTCCGGTTTTTCTCCACAACTCCCCACCACATGTCACACAATCAACACTCCAAAAGTTGAACAAGTTGGGCTAGAGTTTGGCCTCATCCGCCATATTCACCTGACCTCTTGCCAACCGACTACTTCTTCAAGATCTTGACAACTTTTTGCAGGGAAGATGCTTCCACAACCAGCAGGATGCAGAAGATGCTTTCCAAGAGTTCACTGAATCCCAAAGTACGGATTTTTTACATTAGCGGAATAAATAAACTTATTTCTCATTGGCAAAAATGTGTTGATTGTAATGGTCCCTATTTTGATTAATAAAGATGTGTTTGATGGGGTCGGCAGGTAGCACGGTGGTTAAGGACGCTGGACTGACTCCCACATGGCCAACCGTGGTTCAAGTCCTGAGCCTGGAGGCTTGCTTTCTCACTTTCTCTCTCTCCTCCTTTCTGGTCAAATTAAAATAAATGAATAAAGTTTAAAAATTCCTTAAAAAAAAAAAGATGTGTTTGAGCCTAGTTATAATGATTTAAAATTCATGGTCCAAAACCACAATTGCTTTTGTACCAACCTAATACCAACTGTTAATTTTGTGCATGGTATCCTTCATTGAACAGAAATAATTAATGCAAATTAATCATTTTGGTTTAAAACTGGTGCTCTTGAAGTTTTGTGTAAGATGTTCTTTTGTACTCTCCTGAGTCACAAAGATATTCTCTTTTTTTTTTTTTCTAGTAACTTTATGGTTTTTGCCATTCACATTTAGGTCATAGAGCTGTCCTTCACTATCCATGGGAGATTGGTTCTAGGAACCTCCTCCAACAAATACCAAAAGCTAAGGATGCTTAAGCCTTATATATATTGGATTGTCAGAAAAATCATGATGTTGGGGCCAGTAGGTGTTGTGGTGGTTAAGAGTGCTGGAATCCCACATGGCCAACCGTGGTTTAAGTCCCGGACCTGGTGGCTTGCTTTCTCACTTTCTCTCTCACTCTGCCCCTCTCTGGACAAATTTAAATAAATAAATAAATAAAGTTAATTAATGACAATAATTCTAAAAAAAAAAAAAAAAGTCATGGGAACCAGCAGTTAGCGTAATGGCTATGTCGCTGGACTCCCATGTAGTCGACCGCGGTTCGTGTCCCGGACCTGGTGGCTTAAAACTCACGCTGGGCGCATGTGCGTGCGTGCCCAAGATCCCAAGAGGAGAATGGAGTAAGGATGGCGGCGTGACCATCCCCTCTGGGGGGTGATTTCTCGCTTTCTGTCTCTATGTCTCTTTCTGTCTGTCTGGTGAGTGCACGCGCCCTATAGCAAAAAAACCTCTCCAAAAAAATGAAAAAAAAAAAAGTCATGTTTTTGCATAGAAAACATAGAAAAATATTTCATGACTTTTTTTTTTTTTTTAAAGAGAGATTTTTGCTATAGGGTGCATGTGCTTGCCAGAGAGCCAGAGAGAGCCCAGAAAGCCAGACATCCCCAGTGGGGATGGCCATGCTGCAATCCCTTCCATTCTGTTCTTGGGATTTGGGGCACATATACACATTTGCCTGATATGTTTTAACCCGCTGGGTCTGGGACTCGAACCACAGGTGATATATGGGAGTCCAGTGATATAACCACTATGCCATCTGATGATCCCATGTCATGACTTTTCTGACAACCTAATACAGTGGTATAGTATTTGTATATAACCTATGCACATCTTCCAGTATACTTCAAATCATCTCTAGATTGTACACTAATGCGATGTAAAAGCTATGCAAATAGTTGTTAAAATTTATATATTTTTAATTCCCAAGGGGTTTGTGTGCTCATCCAAAAGACAGAAAGAGAGAACAAATCAACTGCCAGTGAGGTGTGGTCATGCTACAATCCCTTCTCCTCCATTTCTGTCTCTTTGGGCCTTGGCAGATGTGCACACACACATGCCCAGTCTGTTTCCTAAGCTGCTGGCCTGGGACTCAAACAGTGGTCAACCATGTGGCATCTGGTTCTCTTACCCAGTAGACGTTGGAACCAGCCCTCAACTTTATAGCTTAGGAAATAATGACAAGGTAAAAAAAAAAATCTGGGAACCAGCAGTTAGCATAATGGCTATGTTGCTGGACTCCCACGTAGTCGACCGCGGTTCACGTCCCGGACCTGGTGGCTTAAATCTCACGCCGGGCGCGTGTGCATGCGTGCCCGAGATCCCGAGAGGGGAATGGAGGAGAAGGGATTGCGGCGTGACCATCCCCCCTGGGGGGTGATTTCTCGCTTTCTGTCTCTATGTCTCTCTCTGTCTGTCTGGCGAGCGCACGCGCCCTACAGTGAAAATCTCTCCAAAAAAAAAAAAAATCTGTTCATATTCAGCACAGGTGCAACCATTTTTTTCCCCAGTATTTTGATCCATGGTTGGTTGAATCTGTGGATGCAGAACCCACAGATACAGAGAGCCAATTGTAGTCCATTTAGAGCAGTGCTGTCCAATAGAAACAGAATATAAGCCATATACGTATGTCACTTAAATTTTTCCACTAAACACATTTTAAAAAGTAAAACAATTGAAATTCACTTTAATAATATTTTTTAAACTCAGTATATCTAAAATATTATCATTTTCAACATAGAATCAATATAAAAATTAAGATATTAATTCTTTTCCTTTTAAGTCCTTGAAATCTGGTATTTTATACTTACAGAACATCTGAATTTGGATTTAGCCACATTTCAAGTGCTCAGTAGCCACATGTGGTCAGTGGCTGCCATATTGGACAGCATAGATCTAGGGCCCACCCTTACAGGTAGTCAAGTAAGAATGCAAACATTTTCCTGCAGGTAATTAAGCCATTTTATCTGTCCATATTTCCCCACAATTGCAATGTCTGTATTTATTGTACTTTCGTGCTTTAAACTTGTTTCACACCCCTCTCTGCCCCATTCCACCTGTCATCTTTCTTGGAATTTTTTTTCTTCTACCCACATCTGAAGATATCTCCCAAGACTTACTTTCTGGCCCTCTACTTATCCTATTCTATATCTGTCCTTAAAAAATCGTGCCCCAAAGTAGCTTCAGCTGCCACGCATATGTATTAATAGATGACACTCAGACCAAATTTTTAGTCTTATTCTCCATCCACAAAGATTGCATTCTTCAGGATTGCTTCAGTGGGCTGCCCTATTTACACTGAAATTTTTACATTAAAATAATTATCTCTCCATTAATTTCCTTCCTGCATATAAATTTCCTTTTAAAATGTTCAATTATTGATTTTTCACTAAACCTCCAGGCTTGCCACCATGGAGTGCAAATGCTGAAGATTCCCTAAGCACTCCACAATGTATGGCTCATTTACTGGAGATTTTATAGTGCACTCGAAGAACAAGAAGTATCTTTGTAGTATGGATATATTTTTCCATTTAGTCCCATGACAGACTGTTTCATTTATCCACGTTTACTGTGGAATACCAAATATGTCCATCTTAAGAGAAAGTTTAGAAAATTACCCCGTGAGCTATCTGGTCCACCAGATCTCATCTTTGGAGCCCATTCTGGGATTGTGTGGTGCTAGTCTTGGGCCTGCACACACCTGACTTTGTTCTGACTGATGCTACTCAGGGGTCTGCTCAGTCCAGACCTTTAACTGATTAGGCTGACAGAGCTGCTTTTCTGGAAAGTTGGTTTGTGTATGTGTATAGAAAACAGTAAAAGGACAGCTTTTTCTGTAGGAGGCCACCAAGAAATGGTCATCTCCATCAACATCTGGAGTCAGCACCATTGCCTTGAAAACTCCAATTTGCCAAGCTAGAGACAAGGAAGAAGCCACTTGCTCCTTTTTCAATACTTCATTAGCTCTAGAATATATTCCCAGGTGTGCGTGCATGCATGCGTGTGTGTGTGTGCTTGTGTGCGTGCGTGCATGTGTGTGTTTATATACTTAGGATGTACATCATGGCTTCTCAAGGTGATGGGTGATGTCATTCCAAGGGTCAGTGGATTGGGTACCTGCCAGTTTCCTGATCCTTGCCTGAGCTTCCTTGATTCTATGAGGGAAGAGACAAAGTGGGATCAATTATCACCCCCTTATGTACTCAACTCTACTGTCAGCCTGAGTTGTGGCTGAGACTAGGTGGCCACACGCTGCAGTCTTCCATTTTTTATAACAGTTGAGAGAGTCACGAACAAAGGAAGTTGTGTGTCAGAGAAGGATCCCTCACTGCCTTTTATGAATCCTGCATCATCCCAACCCTTAGTGAACTTCTTTGGTCCACAGAGGCTCGGCACTGGTCAACCAGCAAACGGGGTTACTAGCCATTCCCCAAATGGCCAGTGTTGAGGGAAGTGGGATAGAGATGGGGAGACTAAGAACCTTAGTAATGTGGTTCTTTGAGGGCTTGGAGGCTGGGGCAGAGTGGAAACCTGGCATGTAGAAGACCAGAGCCAAAGGAGAGAACATGGACTTAGGCAGAGAGGCTGTGGTCAGGAAAGCAAGGACACCCAGAGGCAGAAAGAGAAGCTGAGCTGTTTAATCATCTCCTTGGCCAGATTCAAGGCTGTGGTTGACCCTGAATAACTCACACCTGGAAGTCACTGAGAGCAGCTGGAGATAGATTGGCCACTTGAATCAGAGGATGAGGGAAGGTAGGAAGGGGGAGCTTAGGCACCTCTGACTCTGTCATCTTGCACTCTTGCCCCCAGGTCCTGCTTCAGCTCTGAGAGATTCCTGGCTGGTCCCCAGAGGCAAGGAACTGGATGGTGTGCCCCAGCTGTGGTGAGAAGGACCCTGAGGTGGGGGTAGCCATTCCCCAAATGGCCTGTGTTGAGGGTGCGGTGGTGTCCGCATTAGTGGGGTATAGAGAGGCATAAGGCTGGGGAAGAGGGAAGAAGAGGGAGTGGGGCAGTAGAATTGGGGGTTGCCTGGGTCCCACCACAAGTCTAGAGTTAAATAGCAGAAGAGGGTTGTCCTTGGAAACACTGAACTTGTCCCCGGTGACAGTTCCTGGTGATGGGTTGACCTTGGCAACAGACCCTAGCAGCAGGTAATTGTCCTGACAAGAAGGTGGTCCCTGTCAACAGTCCCTGGCAGTTTCCTAACAGAGGGAGGGAGCTGGCCTGGGACTCTTGCCCCTGACTACTTGTTCTTCTTGAAGAAGCTGAAGCGTTTTTCTCGCTCTCGTTCTCTGCCATCCTTGCCACGAAGCACGACAGGCCCCTCAGCCCCAACTGGTGATACTGGGGGCATGGTCATAGCCCGGGTCATGCCCCGGGGGCCACTGGGCACCACTGGCTCTTCTGGCTCTCCAGCAGCAGAGGATGCAGTAGCAATGGCCGCATTTACCACCCGCAGCCATGAGCTCATCTCTGCCTGCGGGGGGGGACAGAAAGGCAATTGGTCAGCTTAGAACTTGTGCTGGGGCAGCCAGTGGCAGACAGAGCAGGCAAGCAGAAAAATAGGGGTCAGAAAAATTATCTGTTTCATATCATTGGGAGAAAAAAGACCCTTTTAAGATAGGAAACATGTCTTGGTGTCACCTTCACAGATGTCCAATTGGCTGTGGACTGTCTTAATACAAAGAATGAGACACAACACCAGGACAGAGAAAGAAGGGGAAGGAAGGGGAATCTGCAACCAGAGGGTTCTTTTTTTTTTCTTTTTAAGAGATTTTTGCTACAGGGCACGTTCGTTTGCCAGAGTGACAGAAAGTGAGAAATCACCCCCCAGAGGGGATGGCCATGCCACAATCCCTTCTCTTCCCGGGATCTTGGGCATGCATGCACACGTGCCCGGCGTGAGTTTTAAGTCACCAGGTCCAGGACTCAAACCACAGTTGACTACATGGGATTCTAGCAATGTAACCATTATACCATCTGCTGGTCCCACCAGAGGGTTCTAAGAATGGCACAGAGAGATAGGAGCATGGAGGAGATAGGGGCAACTCACCTCGTCCTTGGCCTGGAATAAATATTCTTTTCCATCCTGTAAGCTGTTGGGAGAAAGAAGTCACAGGCAGATCAGCTGTTTGCCAGATCAGCACTGGTGAGAGCTCAATTATAACTCAGAAATCAGGCTGGGAAAATGGCCCACTGCAGCCCTCAGAGCCAGATCAGACATGTCGTGCACATTCTTCAGATTCCCAGGACTGTACAAAAGCAAATCCTTTCTGACTGGCTGCAGAGGACAGGTTGAAAATCCTCCCTTCAGAAGCAAGCCTCCTGTCTGCTGCTTACTGGCAGGCAGGGGCAGGCCCTGGAAGTCCCCAGAGGCAGAGGCATGCAGAGCCCTGCTTTCAGATTTTCCACCCTAGAAAACTTTTTAGCGGGAGACTGTCAGTTACCAGATCTTGGGTCCTCTAGTTACCTGAGGGTGGGATACAACCTAGAGTTTCCCTCCTTCCCACTCATCTTTTTTTTTTTTTTGAGAGGTTTTAGCTATAGGGCACATGCACTCGCCAGACAGACAGAGAGACAGAGAGACAGAAAGTGAGAAATCACCCCCCAGGGGGGATGGTCATGCTGCAATCCCTTCTCCTCCATTTTCCTCTCAGGATCTTGGGCATGCACGCACACGCACCTGGCGTGAATTCTAAGCCACTGGGTCCAGGACGCGAACCGCGGTCGACTACATGGGAGTCCAGTGACATAGCCATTATGCTAACTGCTGGTTCCCCTTCCCCCTCATTTTCATCCAAGTGCCTGCTTGGTCTCTCCATTCAGATGCTCCTTATAGGCAACTCCCCTCCTGAACCCACACGTTGCCCTTAAATTAAGATATCTCGATGCATGGATGACTGATCAGCCTGTGCACACACATAAGCTAGCTCAGGGCTTGCCTTGTGTCACTCCCAACTTCCCTCCCATCCTGAGCACACCGTCCTGTTCCTACCCCAACTTGAAGACATGTTTGCGCTTTCGATAATCAAAGGCAACGCTGCCCTGGGCCCTGGCCAGGCTGACAGGCACTTCTCCGTGGTATGGCACTCCTGTGCTGGCTGCCTTCGCGTCCTTGTAAAAGCCAAGGCTCCCACGCCGCAGGACACAGTACACGTTCTGCCAAGACCTGGGTGGGACACAGTGTAGGTCAGGAGGCTCTGCAGGGCCTATAGCTGGGATTCCTTTGGGCTTGCTAGGGCTTCCATTTCCACTCCAGTCTTTGGAGTCACCATCTCTGTACTCATTTAGTCCTCCCCTGAAGCCCCACTCTGGTCCTGATATTGAATGTGTCCCAGAGGACACATCCAGAAAGGGCATTCCTTCCTCTCTAAGAAGCTCCAGGGAAACCTCCTGAGAAGGTAGGAATCTGAGAGACCACAAGTGTCAAGGAGTCAGACCCAGTACCTGTTGGCAGCCTTCTTGCCAAAGGCCTCCATCTCCTGTTTGCGACACAGCATCCCCTCCATCTGTTCCTGGGCAGAGACCTCTGGGCCTCGAGAGGGCAAAGTGGCAATGTGGGCTGACTCAGAGGACCTGCTCTGGGGCATTGCTGGGCCCTGTGTCCGGGCCTGCTTCTCTCCCCGTTGCCTATTGGATTCATCTCCTGTACTAGACACCTATGAGGAAAAAAGGATGAGAAGGGAGATACTCTTTTTGGGTTTCATGAAGCTTGATGTCCAAACCTGATTTTCCCATCCCCAACTTTCCTTTGATCTTCTGCTCTCTCCCATCCCCACCCCAGGATCCCCAGTTATCAATACCCACACCTTCCTAAGGGGAAACTCACAGGCCCTTCTGGGAAGCTGCCCTGCTCAAGTCTCTGTTGTTCCATCAGGGGCTGCAAGGACAAGAAGCTGTAAGAGGATGTGTTGGGGAGCTAAAATTTTGGGTGCATGGGGACTGCAGGGTTACCTGTGAGGACTCTGCATCTGTGCAGACGCCATTAACGCTGGGCGCTTGTGTGGATGGTGGCAGCCGTGACTGGGTTCTGGAATGGCTGAAGGTAATAGAATCATTAGTCCTTGGATTGCTTGGGCTTAACCTCATCCTTTTAGCCCAGGTGTCCCAGCTCTCACCCATCCCAGGTGGCATCAGGAACTGTCTGGCCACCCCATTGGTCCCCTTCAGGCAGACTGGCTGTGGGTTCTGGAGTAGGGGGCTGTTTCCTCCGTTCCTCTTCCTCCCTTTTTCTCTTCCGCTCCTTCTCCCGCTCCTCCAGCTGTCAAAGAGTGCTGAGGTCAATGTAAAAGGTTTCATTGAAGAGGATCAGGGTGTTAGGGAAAGCTGAATTGTCTCAGTTCTAGTCTCATGAGATAGGAAGAATGGAGAACAGAATTTGAAAGAAGGCACGGATAAGAAGCAATGGGGGAGATGGTGTCTGGGAGCATCACCCAGGGGAACTGATGACTCTCAAACTTATGGTGTCAACAGGGTGCTGTCAGCTCACATCTGGGAGATGCTGGTGCAGTGGGAAGAGAAGAAATGTCTTCTCTAAGTAGGAGAACACACAGGCCTGGGGGGCAGTTAGGTCGTGGTGGGCATCCTAGGGTCCAGTAGCCCTCACCGCAGTGAGCTTCTCCAGTGCACTGAAACGCTCCTCCCAGGCCACTGCTGACTTCTGGAAGGCTTCATGCCGCTTGATGAGGCTCTCAACTTCATCAACTGTGCAACCCAGCTCAGCACTCCGCACTAATGGCTCTTGGCTACACAGCCACGCCTCTGCCATCCCCGCGTCTCTCCCAAACATGAGCACCTCCAAAACTGTCAGGATTCAGGGTCACAAACAGATAACAGATTAGAGTGTGGACACAAAGAAGGCCATTGCCCCAGTGCAGTACCAGCCAGTGTCAAGGGTAGGCACTTAAATTTCAAACCCAGGGTTCCTGGTCTGGCCTACTTTGGAAACTGCAGGATGTGAGGCCCTTGGTCCCTCCTCCTAGGATGTAGGGTCCCCACGGTAACTTACCAAGCTGGAGCCAGTCCATCTTCTCCTGCCACTTATCAGCTGTCTCCTGGCGCCGGGCCTGTAGCTGAGATAGCTTCTCTGAGATCTGGGGGTAGAGATGTGAGTTAGCACCCAGGGGGGCTTTTCAGAGTTCTTGGTGGTGGGAGAGGGCCTAGTAGTTTCTGATACCATGAAGCAGACAGTTCTGGGAGATAGAGAGGATGTAGGAAATCCCTGAACAGCTCTGAGGGGGAGAGAGTAAAATATTTCTTATGAAGAAATAACAAGATGGGGCCAGTAGGTGGTGTGGTGGTTAGGGCACTGAACTCTCACACTGCCAACCACAATTTGAGTCCTGGACTTGGTGGCTTGCTTTTTTATTTTTTTAAGAGCAAGAGAGATTTTTAAAAAAGAATTATTTTATTTATTTATTCATTTAATTTGACCAGAGAGAGAGAGAGGGAGGGAAAGTGAGAAAGCAAGCCACTAGGTCCAGGACTCGAACTGTGGTCAGCCATGTGGGAGTGTCCAGTGCCCCAACCACCATGCCATTTGCTGGTCCCCCAGAGAGAGACTTTTGCTATATAGGTCACGTGCGCTTACTGGAGAGACAGAAAGATAGAAAGCGAGAAATCACCCCCAAGGGGAAATGGTCACACCACAATCCCTTCTCCATTCTCCTCCTGAGATTTTTGGGCATACATGCACATGTGTCTGGCATGACTTTAAGCTGCCAGGTCTGGGACTTGAACCACAGTTGACTACATGGGAGTCCAGTGATGTAACCATTATGCCATCTGCTGGTCCCAATAAATAATTTTTTAAAATGACTTAAAAAAAAAGGAAGAAAGAAAGAAAGAACAAGAGGAAGTAGAAAGACTCAAGGAAATCAGCATTAAGCCCTGCATGGTGAGGATGGCCAGGCCACAGCAAGCCTCACCCACCTCTTCGGCTGCATAATGGCTCCTGGATAGCAGCTCCTGCCCCATGTCAATACAGGAAGAGAAGCGGTCTGCTCTGGCCTCTATCTCTGCCTTGATGCCTTGTTGGTTCTTGATGACTAGATCCGCAGAGGACACATCTCTGGGGGGACAGAAATATTGTCACCTACTGCACACAGCCCCATCACAGTTGCCAGCCCATATAACTGGCAGAAGCTGCTAGGCACAGTGGGTCTTACCGTGGTCTCTCCTGGGCATCCATCTGCAGGTTAACACCATCCATCCACAGCATCAGCTCCCGAACAGCCTTGAAGAAGCGGAACTTGTCTGTGGTGTCCAAAAGTAGCTGGCGGCGGGCGGCAGAGCTTCCCTGTAGCTGGGCCCATGCTTCGGCTACGGCCTGCATGTGACGGCCAATCTCCTCAGCCTTGTCTCCAGCGTAGGCCTTCTGGAGCCGGTGGCCATCATCCTGCACTTGTTGGACCTATAGGGCCCCAGGTCAGAGTCAGGCAGAGCATGGAAGTTCTGAGAAGATGCATCCCCTTGATGCTGACCACTATTCTTTGCCTTCTGCCCTGTGATCAGATGAACAGGCAGGAGGAGGGGCAAAGGGAGAGGGGCCAGGGAAGATGAAGGCAGGCACCCTGCCATATTCTGCTCTGTTGAGTACCATCTGGGGCCTGGCCTTAGCCCAGGGAGGGAACTTTAAAAGGGCCACCAGCCTATTGAGTTTTCAGAGGCCTCCCTAGGACATGAGGACCTTGGAGATTGCTAGAATGAGATATTCAGACTGAATATGGATTTGTGTGGGGGCTACCTGGGTTTCAATGGTTAAAGGAAAGATTTACGTGAATTTTGTGTAGGTTTAGAGCTCTAGCTGAGGTGGCACCAACAGGCAGATTTTAGTGTAATATGAAGAGTCTCCTAGGGTCCAGCAGGTTGTGTAATGATTAAGGAGCTGGACTCCCATATGGCAACCGTGGTTCAAGTCCCAGACCTGGCAGTTTGCTTTCTTACTTTCCCTCTCTCTCTGGTCAAATTAAAAAAAAAAAAAACAACAATAATTGGGACCAGCAGTTGGAGTAATGGCTATGTCACTGGACTCCCATGTAGTCGACTGCAGTTCGAGTCCCAGACCTGGTGGCTTACACTCATGCCAGGTACGTGTGTGTGCATGCCCAAGATCCCGAGAGAAGAATGGAGGAGAAGGGATTGCGGTGTGGCCGTCCCCCCTAGGGGGTGATTTCTCGCTTTCTGTCTATCTCTCTTTGTCTTTCTGGCGAGCGCGTGTACCCTATAGCAAAAACCTCTCCAAATAATAATAATGATAATAATAATAATAAATAAAATAAATAATTATTTTTAAAAAAGTCTTCTAGCTGTTGGGGCTACCTGAAAATGTCATATGCCCTTAAGAAGACTTGTCATTAAAAGTGTAAACATAGGGGACTAGCAGTCGGCATAATGGCTATGTCGCTAGACTCCCATGTAGTCGACCGCGGTTCAAGTCCTGGACCTGGTGGCTTAAACTCACGCCAGGCGTGTGTGTGTGCATGCCTAAGATCCCAGGAGGAGAATGGAGAAGGGATTGCAGCATGGCCATCCTCCCTTGGGGGTGATTTCTCACCTTTTGTCCCTCTGTCTCTTTCTGGTGAGCACATGAGCACAAGTGCCCGATAGTAAAAACCTCTCCCCCCCCAAAAAAAAGAAAAAAAAGTGTAAACATAGGACCAGCAGATGGTGTAATGGTTACATCACTGGACTCCCACATGGCCATATGGCCGACTACAGTTCAAGTCCTAAACCTGGTGGCTTAAAACTCAGGCTGGGTATGTGTGTGTGTTGCCCCCAAGATCCCAAGAGGAGAACGGAGGAGAAGGGATTATGGCATGGCCATCTCCCCTGGGAGGGTGAGTTCTCGCTTTCTGGGACCAGCAGAAGGTGTAATGGTTACATCACTAGACTCCCACATAGTTGACCGCCCACCCTATTTCCCACAGAATTTCCTCTCAGCCTTCCCCACCTCCTCATGCTTGGGTCAGACCTGGGCACTGAGGGCCTGGATGTCATGCTCATAGGCACAATGTCGGCGCTGCAGGGCCTCGGCAGCGTTGAGGTCACGGCCGGTTCCATCTGGAAGTTGTTGTTGCTTGTGTTGCACCCGTGCCAGGGCCTGGCGGGCCCCATGAAGGAAGCGCTGCAGCTCATACGCAGCGGCCAGCACCTGGCCCCGTGTGTCCAGCAGCTCGAGCAGGTCAGCCCAGGCCTCGTTGAGACTGTCCTTCCACTCGGCCACGGTAGCCCGTGCGGCATGGCCCCCAGCAATGAGCCCATTGGCAAGTGCATTGGCACTATCGACACGCTCCTGACCGATGGTGCTTGTGTCTCGGGAGAACTCTCGGAATTTGTCCCGGAGCATCTATGGGAGGTAGCAGTTGTACAGAAAATGCTGGTGGATATAGTCCCTGCCTGACAGAGCAAATCCTCCCCTTTCCCAGACTCAGAACCCACTTCTCTCTCCTGGGCCAATGGGCTGGAATAGATTTCCTTGCTAAAATTGGGTTAGTGAGGAGATGTTTCCCATTCACCCTGTGTTTAACTGATGCCCCCCACCCCAGCAGTAGCCTTTGGAGGCCCCTGGAACAATTAGCCCTCAGCCAAGTATACCCTAATGCTATTTCTGCACTGATGAAGGTCTAAGCCCCCAGACAGTGGAGGGGAATCTAAAGCTCACCCTGTTTAGTTGAGTTCTGTTGAAAGAGAGTGATTGGTTATTTCTTTTTCTGCCTTCACCTGTGCTTAATCCTATGTCCCCCTTTCTGCACAACCCTTAAATGATATGCCTGAAAACCTCAGAGGACTGCCCCTCAGCAGGATTTTTAAACCTAGGTAATCTGCCCGGCACACCCAATGGGTTCCCCTGATACTCACTGTCACATGCTCATAGTCCTGGCCCAGCTCATGAGAGGCTGCCACCACCTCGCGCTCCTGGATCCATTGCTCCAGGTCATCCAGCTCACGGCGTAGCTGGCATAGCCGGAGGTGCTCCTGCAGGCGTTCTCGACGCTCTCCGGCCAGCTCCTTCAGGCTGGCATACAGTTTGTCCACCTGGGCTTGGCGAATTGATAGCCGCGTGCTACAGGACAGTGGGGGAAGCACCGTGGGGCTTAGGAGATGTTGCTCTGACCCCAGCCTATTCTGTGGAGTCCTGTCCTATTTGTCCCCCAGTAGCTCACCGAGTTCCTGCTTCTCCAGCTTTCTAGATGTGCTCTACACACAGAGTACAGAAGGCTCCACAATCCCTGCACCTTCCTGGAATGAAGGTGCCCTCTGCCCCATGGTCTGAGACCCTTTGTGCCTGCTGGGCTCACCTCTCTGGGTGGTCGTGGTCAATCATCTCTTGGCTGCTGGCTGCTAGCTGGTGGATGGTCTGGGCATAGTCAGCCAGGGCTTGCTCCAATACCTGATGCTTCTTCACCTCTGCCTGGGCACTCAGCTCATCCTGGGGGAAGTGACAGTAGGCACCAGGGAGGTGGGACCAGGAGGAGGAAGAATTGGCCACACAGACTGGGCCCTGCCCTGGCTCTCACCTTGGCTTTCTCCTGGCCCATCATGTGTAATTCCTGCTCACCCATCCAGGCCTCTGCCTCGGCAGCATCGCGGTAGAACTGCTGGGCCCGCATGGCCTCCTCAAGTCGTTTCCCTCGAAGTTCCAGCTCATGGCCCAGGCGTTTCCACATTTCTTGTAGCTCAGCCAGCTCTGGGCCTGCTGCTGCTGCACCCAGAGCACGCTGCCTCTCTGTCAGGTCAGCAATCCGGGGCTCATGGCCCTGTATCTCCTTCTGCAGGGTCTGTTCACAACAGCAGCAGAAGAAAAACACAGAAAGGCTTGTTACGGGAGCCCAGACCTTCCCTTCTCCTCAGGCCTACTTAACACAATACCCCTTCACATTCAAGCCTCTCTTCCTTCCTGAGCCCTCTTCATTTCCCCTCCTTTCTGGCCCAAGGATGTAATGGCAATGCCCCTTCAAGCCTCCCAAGGAAACCCACCCTCTCCAAGCCAGGAAAGGGGAACCAGTGAAGTCTACAGCTATACTCAGTACTGAAGTGGGGTCAGAAAAACCCAGGTCTTGAAAAAAACAGATATCCAAGTCTGGAGAGGCTCTTGGGAAGTTTCCTTTTGCCTTTAGCCCCTGCCTCACCTGGTTTTTCTTCATGAGGAGCTGGACACTGGGCAGGTCCTTGCCATGTTCCATGGAGCTGGCCATGGGCAGACGCTCTGTCACCCACAGCTGGATGAGAAATAAGGGGTCAGTGCAGGTCCAGGGCAAAACAAGTGTCAGGGGTTGGATGGTGGAGATACCCAGAGCTACTGGAATGTGTGGAGGAATCAATCATCTCTGGTTCTGGGGTAAAGGGACCTAGAAGTATCCCCGTTTTCCTAGAGGGGAGATTTTATTTTATTTTTTATTATTATTTTTTTGAGGTTTTTGCTATAGGGCGCGTGTGCTCGCTAGACAGAGAGAGAGACAGAGATACAGAAAGCGAGAAATCACCCCCCAGGGGGGATAGTCACGCCGCAATCCCTTCTCCTCCATTCTCCTCTCGGGATCGTGGGCACGCACGCACACGCGCCCGTTGTGAGTTTTAAGCCACCGGGTCCGGGACGCGAACCGCGGTCGACTACGTGGGAGTCCAGCGACATAGCCATTATGCTAACTGCTGGTTCCCTGCCCGGCGTGAGTTTTAAGCCACCAGGTCCAGGACTCGAACCATGGTCGACTACATGGGAGTTCAGCGACATAGCCATTACGCCAACTGCTGGTCCCCCTAGAGGGGAGATTTTAAACACCAAGGGAAGAGGGAACAGAGTACTTTTGGCATTTGCCCAGAATCCAGGAAGGAGGTTGGAGAAGACAGGTGACTATTTTCTTAAGATGAAGGCTATCCCACTCCTGGCCTCTGGGACTCACAATTTCATCCTCCACATCTCGGTGGAACTGATGTTGTTCGCGAGAAGCTTGTAGATGCTGGCAGCGTTCCTTCATGGGCTGGCACAGTGCCCTGAACTTCTCCTCCACAGCTCTCGAGGTCCTTTCCACCTCCCCTGCACCTTGGTCCTCCTGGGCCAGAGCTTTTGCCTGGGCCTGGATCGCCTCCACCTCCTTTTCTCTCACAGCCATCTCCCGCTCTAGCATCTGCAAACCCAGAGCAAGGAGGAAATGTTAGTACATTTTTACTTTCAAACTCACAGAAGACACTAGTCTATAACAAGCCAACTATGATTTCTTATCCATCCCTATGGCTTTAGAAAGAGCATCCCTTCAAGGCCTGGCTCAAGTGTATCTCAAGCTTTAATACACGTAACAATCCAGAGGAGTCTGGTAATTATGCCAATTATCACATTATTGTCTCTCAGTCTCAAATCCAAGTACTTCAGTTCCACATCCACCTTTGCCCTGCTTTGAGACACTGGAACTGAACTCTTAAAATATTTCTCCTTTTCCAATTGGTGCGATGCTAGGGCTTGTCAGTAGAGGGCAATGGAGGGGCACCACAAAGCACCAGAGAGGAAGAGGGTTCTGTGGTTCCGGTGTGCTTTTCTTCTTGCTCCTAAGCAAAAAGTGTGCAAGAGATCCAGTGATTCTTCCCCGCTAGCATGTGTTGCTGGCATTCCAGTAGCAGCTTCCTGCTGGGAGCTTTGGCTTGCCAGCTTCCGACTTGCTCTGTCCCATAATTCCTCAGCAAATTTCTAGGCCATTCAGTTGGCCTTTGCCTTCTCCAATGAGGTCTGAAACGCAGCTATCTTGTTCTTTCCTTGGAAACTTTTCCTTGGGTCTAGAGATAATAGCTGCTCCCTACACCTGTTATTCCTGTATTCTATAGAGCAGAGGTCACCGAATCCAGCCCACTGCCTATTTCACTTCTTTTTACTAAAGCTTCTCTTCCCAAATTACTAGTCTGGCCTCTGTCTCTTGTCATTACCCTGACTGACACATGCCCCTAGAGAGTCTGATACAGTGGCTCTATAGAAAACACTCTGAGTCATTCCAATAAAGATGTTACTTGTCAGGCCTAAGAATGACTTCTCAAAATCAAGAACTAGACTCTTCCTCTCTTCACCATTCCCACCAAAGGCCCACATATACCTGCTGTTTCTTGAGTAGAATGTTGACACTGGTAAGATCCTTGCCATAGTCATCAGAGTGTAGCTGGGCCTGCAGGCTCTCCAGCCAGCTTTCCAGGGCTGAGCAGCTTTGGGCGAACAGCTCGGCTCGGTTGGCATCAAAGAGGCTGCGGGCCTTGGCCTGGGTGGTGGTCTCCAGCTCATCCCAGCGCCTATGCAGGTCCCCCAGCTTGTCTGACACCAGAGCTTTCAGCTCTGGCTTCTCAAGAGTCAGCTCCCGCCCTTCCTGGGTGGTATGACAAAGGAGGTATAAGTGCCAGAATTAGATACCTCTGAGCTCTCTAAGCTGATAGCAGGCCAGGGGCTTATGGGGCAGTAGTGACCTGAAGCGTGGGCAATCTCTCCAAGTTCTTGCATGCTCTTGTTAGCATATTCTTCCCAGAGGTTTTACACCCCTGTTAAACTGATTAACCCCTCATTGCTGATTAAACCCCACTTCTTCAAGGTCCAGCTCAGACCTCATTTCACTGAAGACGCCATTGCAGTTTTTCCTTATCGTGGGTTCCTGGTGCCATGGTTTCTAGTGTTATGTTGTATGTGGACTTGTCTTACTGCTATCCTATCACGTTTCTCAACTCATTACCCCTCCCTTGAACTACAGCAACTGAATCCCATCTGTTTTCTCTACTTCTGACCTTCTTACTGATGGACTTTCTGGGGGAGGAGTGAGAAGATGAGCTGGAAGTGCCAGAGGCAATGCCCCAGGAGCAGCCCTCAACTATTGACAGAGGGGGAGTTGCTGCCTAAAGATCCAGCATCCTCATGCTCTGGCTAGAATGGTGCTGATGTGTATCCTATGTGTATCCTATGCCGTATCCCAGAGTGCCCTAGCACTGCTGCTGTGATAGAAGATACTTTAGCGACTGCCATCCCTTCCGTATCTCGATTCTCCTTCTCTCCCTAGTGGTGCTTCCTGGGATCACCTCCTACCCTAAACTCCAAATTCAGACACTGCCTTCAGGTCATTTCACACATGGCTGTCATGATGAAGGGCACCAAAGGCTAGCACTGCTTGGGTAACTTCACAACCTCCAGCATAACCCACACGTTAAGCACATCCTTATTGGTCATCAGGGCTTTTCATGAACTGGCCCAGCATGTTCTTCCACTCTTTCTTTCATGGGGCTCCTTTGCATTCTTTGCTCCTGCCACACTGACTTACCCCCTTGTTCCCATACAGGCACCCCACTTTCACACCCCTCACTTTCTTTTGATACTGTTTCCTCCATCTATAATAGAAACATCTCTTCTCCAGGACCTCTGCTTGTTCAAATTCTAGTTATCCTTCATGGACGGCCCTGGAGCCTCCTGCTCCCATCTCTCCCCTCTCCTCAGTCTCCAGGTTTTCTCAGGCTTCCTCATCATCGTCTACTCTGAATGTAATTTAGCCCTATGTGTACAGGCTCATGTCCTGGCCATCTATTGTTTCCTGAGGGTGGGGCCCACAACGGAATCACCTTTGTTCCCTACCAGTGTAAATACAATGTTTTATACATAACAGCACCAAGTAAATATTTGCTGAACAAATGGAAAAACTGAAAACACAATGGTCTTTTCTACCCAACCATCATGCCCTCAAGGGAAGCAAAGCATCTTTTTATAGCCTAGCAGCACCTTGCCGAGTGTTGTGCTCATTGCTTGTTTTTTGAAGATAAAGTTTTATTGGAGCATAGCAGGCTCATTAATTTGTGTATTGTGTGTCTGCTTTTGCACTACAAAGGCAGAGATGAGTAGTTGCAACAGAAATGATATGGCCCACAAAGCCTAAAAGATTTACTATCTAACCTTTACAGAAAAAGTTTGCAGACCCCTGCTGAAGAGTGTTTTCCTGCCCTGTACCCAGAAACAGTTATCTTGTAACGAAGCTGCAGTTTGGCTCTCTACTAATTTGTACTTTTTCAGAATTCTAGAATCACACTGTCCCACAGCCCATAGACACTTATTCCCTAGGCCACAACTCTCTACCTTGGAACTGTGGCACCAGAGGCCCCATGATCTCTAACCCTGAATAAAACATTCTGGAGCCAGGTCCCTGCCCTGTGCTGTAACTAGGTTGCCCAGAGGCAACCCCAAAGTCTCGCTTCCTGTCACACCACTCACCTTGTCTACCTTGTCCAACCAGTCCTTGTTGGCCGCCAGCTCGGCCATGAATGCCTGGTGCTTTTGCCACTTGGTGTGTAGGTTGCGGGCTTCATCGTAGGATACATCCTGGGCAGTCAGCATCTTCTCGTCAATCCAGAGTTTCAGCTGACCAAACACAGAG